TAGTAGTAGTAGTAGTAGTAGTAGTAGTAGTAGTAGTAGTAGTAGTATATCATATATGTGGGATGGGTGAACCAAAAGGCTGTGAGCACCTCGGTGTCTCACCCATTAGGACCGGCCTCCACCTCCAAACGCTCCACCCGCTCCCCCCGAACGAGCGAGCCGAAGCACCGCGATCTGAGAACATCCTCTGAATCCAGAGAAGGACCGAGTCGCGGTTAGCCGGAGCCGGGAACAGTGGTGGGATGGGAACTGTGCGGTGCCACGGACTATATCAGATAGTATACACATGTATGTTAATGTTCATGTTCTAGTATGTTTCTATATATGATTTCCTGTTTCTGTTGTTGTTGTTGTTGTTGCTGTATTTGTGGTTGAAGCTTATACTGGCTTATAGATGCTTATAGTCAAGAGCAAGAGGACAGTCGAAGAATTGAACCCATCCATACTTGCATTAAACATATAGATTCGATGTTGCAACTGCCAATTAATCGGAGTCGGACTTGTTCGTTTTCTCAGATCGTCTTTTGTTGAGATGTCGACATGAATTGAGCAACCTTCTCTCTCTCTCTCAGAACGGTCCACGATCCCGATGCCGCGGTCCACGGACCGCCGGAACGCTTACGTACGCGGTCCACCGCCAGGGGCTGCTCTTGGACGAGACCACGGTGAAAGACCCACCCTTCCAAAGCACCGAGGCGGGGCGAAGGGAACGGTCCATTTTTGATGAACGAAGATGCAGCATGTGAGAGATGGGGGGGTCAAAACCGGCACACCCTGCTTGACCGAAAGTGACACAGCCGCCACTCTGTTCTGTGCAACCAACCTGTTGTGTGGTGCAGGAGTTTGACAGAGATAGCTGTCAAAATTTGTTGAGATTGAAGATCTGTCAATTCTTTAAATTCTGGTTTCCATATACATAAACAATCACATGTTGATCGTCTTGTTCTCCAACAAAATCATCTCATAATAATCATAATTTGGCACTAAAGTCACTTGGGAAACGCAGATCGGACCACCTAAATCCAAGCAACTGACCGTCTCGTCGTCCTTCCTTGCGTGTTGCTTTGTTCCTGTTCTTGTTTCCTCCCACCCCTGGTCTTTCTTCCCGTTCCCTTCCGTAACCCGCCACCGCCACCGGTCGTTCCACGAACGACCGCGACCCCCGTGAACACGGTCGTTCCACACCGTTCCCCGTGGGTCGCCGTGTTCGGCCGTGTCGAGGTCAAGCGGATTGATTCCCTCAAGGCCGTCGGCCGGCGCTCCCAGGGACGGTCGGACCTGTGGTCCGGAAGTGAACGGCCAACGACAGACTTCAAGGTTTCAACTGTAACTGCCTATACTGCCAAGTGAAATGATATAGATTTCAAGTAGTACTAGTAGAGGCAAATCCGAGTTGGAATGGTGTTCCCCCTTCCTTCCTGGGATCCTGGGATCCAAACAAGATCCCGCAGTTTGGGCCAAACCTCCCAAGCACTGAGGCTAGCGTGCTCACCACCCGAACTGACTGACCACGAGAAAATCCAATGCACCCTCTACAAGGGGAAGTGAAGGCACGAATCGGAAGTGAGTTTGGCTTCCTCGGTGAACGCCGTTGAGCACCGCGTGTCCAAGGCAATTGGAATCAATTGCAGATCTTGGGTGCAGAGGTGGATGTGACCTGCCTTAAACTCGGTCGGCATCTTTTGTTTTCGTGGGCTTTTCTCCTTTCTCAGAGATTGGGGAGGTGGAAAGAGGTCGACCCTTTCTGGAAGAGTTCGTTCATCTCACTGATCGAAACCACCATGACTTTGTGATAGTTAACTAAGTAGGTAAATGAACAAAAGACTTCATCCATGTTCCTCCCGGTGACCTAAACATCGCCCTCCTCAAACGGGAACAGCCCCTGTTGAAATGTTGGCTAGTCTCTCCAGTATCTCCAGGTCATTTCATGCAGTTTGGCTGGTCCTGGTACCTTAGATCAAGAAGCGGAAGAGGTGAATCGTCTTCAAAGAAAGGTCTGGAGCATCCAAGTTCAGCAATGAGGCTCCCCCACCGGTTTCACGACATGCGCTGGTGGTTTTAGACAATGTTTGATCTTCCAAATCTAGTGCGTTCCGTTTGGACAAGTGATCAAAAAGGAGTCAAACATATCTAAGGGATGGAATAAGAGAGTCCTTGAACGATTTCAAGTACCCTCCAACACATGGGACCTCACCCAACAGGTACCATCTTACCATCTTGTCCCCTATGTTCCGATCTACGAAGGGGTCGACGAATCTATAGGTCGTTTGTCTCGTTTCCCTCGTCGTGTTCGGTTCCAGACTCGCCGGTCGGTTTCCCGGAGAGTCTCCCGTGTCAGTCGATCAATGCTATATGTTTTATGATGTTTGAATGTTCCTCTCATTTTGGTGAGACACTTCCTTTTCATGTTCCAACATCGTTGCTTCCCCCATGGCTTTGACTCCCCAAAGCATCAGTTTTGGTGTTCAGTACCCGGACATACCTACCCTTTGGCGGGCACGCACCTACGCCAACTCTTCAACACGTCGCGCGTGTTCAGCAGTACTCGACGCGCGTGTTCGTCAAAGCCCGAGAGTGTGGTGTCTTCTTCCATCTCCTTCCTTCTTCTCCTGCCACGTCCTCATGTCACAGTGAGTGTGGCATCTTTTTGGACCTGGACACCATGTAGAGCTGAAACCCCTGACCTGGGCACGCACGGACCTGGACACGTACCGATATTATGCCAGATGATATGCCAGAAAGGATGTCAGAATATTTTATGCCAGATAGCTTGTTGCAAATGTGTTGCAAAGGACGTCAGAATGGATGGCATAATGCCACAAGATATGCCAAAAAGGTTGTCGGAAAATATGCAAGTTGGGATGTTGGTACATTTGCCAAATAGAACGCCAAATCGTCTGGCAGAACTGGCAGAAACATGCAGAAACCATGTCAGACCGTGGGAACAAGTGGCAGGACTGTTGGCAGAACAAATGCCGGAATATATGGCAGAACACGTGTCAGAACTCATATCAGAACCAAAGTCAGACAATATGACTCAGCACTTCACAGGAGGTCAAACCACAGTCCCGAACATTTCCCAGCCTTACTTTGTGATAGATGGTCGGAACACATACCAGACTTGATGCCATAGAAAGTGTCAGGACTCATGCCAGGTGGCATTTGTCAGGATAGTTTGTACATGTTTGTACATTTGCCCTGCCATCTTCCAAATCGCCCCTTTCAAGTGGGGATCAGGCGAAGTAAGGTATAAGCAATACTTGTTTGTTTGCCTATAAACAAAAACAAGGCCCTCTCATGGATATGCTCAGACTGTCCAAACCAAGCTCCACTTTCAATGTCACACCCTCTCCACACGCCACACCTTGGGTCTCTCTGTACACGCGCGCGGACGTCCCCCCCGCCCTCGCCGCAGGGCTACGAGGGCGACCTCGCGCAGGTTATCGACCCTCGGGAAGGCCACGAAGCCGACGATGGGCCGCGCCACGGGCAGAGGGTCCGGAGACCCGCTAGCGGCGCACGGGCGGGGTGGAAGAAGGACGGCACGGCGACGAGACCACGGGAGAAGAAAGGGACCAATGGATACAAATGGACTCATGTAATACCAGGACCCGACACCAAGGGGTGCCCTGTTTGAAAGCCTATATAGGTAGTGTGGGGTAGTCCAGCCAGGACACCCCGACAGGAGGGTCCAGGTATGCAGTATCATATGCAGTATATAGTTATACACATGACATCCAGCATCTAACGTCAAATAGTCCGACATGATCACGACATTCCCATCTTCAGAACATCTTCTTTCAGGTCATTGGATTCAGTCTTAAGGCAACGACTTCAGACCTGGAGAAAACCTCTGGCGGATCTAGCCGATCTGAAACATGACATGGTGAGACCCCGTTTTTGCGCCAAGTAACAGATCGATCGATGTCTAGGTCTTCTTGTCATGTGATCGAGTGAGCGGATTTCTTTTCGGATTTTGGTCGCGAAGAAGACAGTCCCTGAAAGAGATGGCTTATTGAAATTAGATCTGCCATGTTCTGATGGATTGGGAGCAGTTCAGGATCCATGCTGTAGTTGTTCGAGGGTTGGCAGCAAGGAGCAGCGCCTGGCTCCAATAGCCGGCCAACCCCTTTCGGCCGGTCGCTGGCGTTGTGCGTACAGGAAGAGCTCTCCCTTTTTTTGGTGTGTCATCCAAACCAAACCAAGACTCTTTGACTCAAAATATGTCTTTTATTGTCTTTCTACATCGGCCTTCTGCGGGGAACTCGCGGTTGCGAACGAGTTCCAGCTGAGGTCCTCCTGTCGGCCGTGATCGTGGATGGTAGGCGACCGGCCCGACGGAAAGTCCGCCTCACGCATCGATGAAGGAATCTTTGATCAAGTGGAAGCCCTCTTCGGTGCAGCAGTGACCTCTCGTGACACCTGCTTTGTCTCTAATATTGCTTGGCTCTTTGATGGGTTTTCATATGAACGCAGTTGCAAGGTTTGCAACATAGGATGTATATTATAATATATTATATATAATATATATATCACATCCTGAAAACAACCAACCAGGTGTTTTCTCTAGTCTCAGACAGCCGTTTGTTGCTTGAGCCCTTCAGACAACCCCAAACAAGCATGCACCAAAGGCAATGGAGCAGCTACCTCACAGAGGAAAGGAACAAACAGAACCCATATATACGTGAGAGAAACGTGAGAGTTGCTATGCTTGTTGAAGGCATCGTATTTTCTGAAACGTCTCCCGTCCACTTCGCAGGGGCATGGGTCAAAGCAGCTTGGAGCAGCAAAGTCGCTCGCCCTCGCTCGCACGTCGCGTGGGACTTTGGCAAGTACATCCAGGACCTGAGACGAGTCGACTCGCAGTGAAGCTGCCCGACAGTGACAGTGAAGATTCCAACTTATTAGGGATTTCTTTCCGGGCGATTGACAGTGGCGTTTGGCTTGGCGATTGACAGACCGCCAAGCTTGGGGACAGGACTTCCGACGTTTGGAGACATAGGAAGATTTTTAAAAAACAGCTGAGACGGAGCGAAACTGATCAAAAAGGATGGAGATGACGGACTTTGAACCACCAAAGGATGCTTCAGAACCGCCCTATAGCGGCTTTTGCGCTGGCCTTTTTCACACGCACAGGGGTGTGTTCTGACGGATATACGCAGGGTGGTCGGTGAAAGCTCTTCTGATCTTTGGCGTGTGAAGTCCGTTTTTGCAGGTGAGAAAGTAGCCTGGATCTTCCAACGACCCAAAAAGATCTGGTATAGTTTTGGTTATTGACTCCGGCTTTCCGCGCAAACGGCCGCAAATCAGCGCAACTGACAAAACGACCGCAAATGAGCGAAACAACGGACGCAAAACACCAGCAAACGACCACAAACATCCGCAACATAACGACCAAAACGACCATAAACCAAAACGACCAGACTTTTTTTGGTAGTTGGAAGGTCCAGGAGTAGTGAAAGTCGGTGCGACAAAGGTGTCCATGCGGCGCTGCTGAACCATGAAGAGCAAAAGGAAGGGATGGGATTGTCTGTTTTTTTTTGTGTTCCGCAGGATGGGATGCTCATGCTTGACCCCTCGTTCCAGTGGATCCAATGCTCAGAAGGATTTGGGGTGCTCAGATCTCACCTGAAAGAGTTCAATGAGTTCTCTTGAACTCGCCACCCCATCACCTCCTCCTAGGGTTCCGGAAGTTCTACGTGGGACTGGAGGGCGTGCGCTTTCTCCAATCGCTGCAGCAAGATCCACGGTACAAGAACGGAGAGAAAGCCAGGCAGGGGTTGTTTCAGGGCCAAGGGCTGCGGCTGGGCTCACTCCATGTATGGGATCATATATATATATTAATATATTCACCTACATTGACCGCCCCCAAACCACCCCAATGCATATAGGCATGTTTGGGTGCGTCTCGCCCCTTGTGTCTTTTAGATCTGGGACACTCCCTGGTCCTGGCAGGAGGCCCGATTGGCCAAGTCAAAACGGGTCGGGTCTCCTGTCCGATTCTAAACCGCAGCGGAACGCGGTCGGGGACCGACCGGTCGACCGAAACGTCGAGACGTCGAAGACCTGAAGTGAAGGAAGTTCCTGAAATCAGGTCCCCTAAAGACCATGCTTTTTAGAGTCTTCGACTTCCAGGCTACACACACCCATGTCAATCTGGGTGTTTTGGGCGCTTGGAGAGGACTGAACTGGCGATCAAGTCATGGGTCCTCCCACTTACGCGCCGCATGGATGCTGCATTCGAAACCGTCAGGTTGACCTTGTGCTTCTTCATCCAGCGCACCTACTCCTTCCATTACAAGGCGCAGCAGTGCGCGCCAAGGTTTCTGGGCCGGGCAGGCAGCGCCGAGGTTTGTCGATGGTGAGACAGGTCCAGGTGACAGGTTCCTGTCTTCTGCTCCGTCTGACGAAACATCCAATTGGCGGACTCTCTCCAAGAATTTCAGGTTCCTCACGGTTTTCAGACAGGGGATTCATATTCTTGCTCTGAAAGAATGAAGCACCCCTTTCAAAGCAACAAGCGATGGCACCATTGATTTCAACATCGACAGTGATCAAATTTGGGACAATTTGTTTCCTTCTAAAATTGTTTATTTTTGCTTTCTCTGCGAAGACTGCCACCGTGCCGGATCCTGGAAGATTTTCTTTTGGATCACCTGCCGTTCAGGCAAGGGCTTTTAGACGAAAGATATACTCTGATCGTTCTATTCCGGATGGAAAGAAGGATGACTCATGATAAGTAGAATTCACAGTGTCAATCCGGGCGGGCCCAGACAATCCCTGTGTGGAACAGGACAACTGCGCAGGACTATACTACATGCACTCTCTGAGTCTCTAATCCATTTCTCATGGGGTCGTTTCTGTCATGGCACGATAATCTAAAACCTTTTTCCCTTTAGAAAACGGCACTACAACATTCCTGCAATTCCAACATCATCATTCCCTGCGGACCCGGGAGACTGGCTTAACTAGTACATCTCTATATTCGACTACTTTAAACTGCTAAACTTTGCCCACCCGCTCTCCGAGCACTTTGTTTTAAGGCATTGCTCCGATCATCGCTTCCACGGAGCCACCATGTCAATCCTGCAACATGATGACACTCCAATTGCAAACTCTCCTCATGCTGACTGCACTTTCCATACATACTTATTTTGCAACCTTCAACCTTATTAAATAAAGCGAAACACACACATATATATATATATATAGACATGTAGCACACTGCACATGCATTGCAGCTCTGCTAGATGTTGAGCCAAGTAGCCTCAAGCGTGCCACCTTCATCATGTAGCTCTCGCACTGCTGGCCCGAAACGTGTCTGGCCACATGCTTGGGCATGCCGATGCTGTCCTCCGAGACGCATGCCCAATGTCTGGTGCTGTGTCCTTGAACCAGCAAGTGCGCTGTACAATTGCCAAATGATCTCAAGTCAAAAGACCCATTTGCTATGGCCACGTCCAGTAGAATGAGGTCATTGACTTGTACTAGATCCTAGCATAGACTAGTCTGGATGGAACCCTCATGTGACTGTGACATGAACGCAGCTAAGAGTCGCCACCACAAGCATCGCCTGAGCATATGCTTGAACATGCGCAGCTTCGGCTTCAAAAGCCATGTAATGCGGTTCCACCTGGCCGCAGTCTGTCTGTGGAACATGGTAGAAGCAATCCAGGGACCAGGTGAAAACTCTGCTACAAAAAGAAGCCTGCAAAAGCATGTGCATGCCTGCCAATTCCCCAACACTTGCAGGTAAAAACCTTGCTGACCAGGTGGAATCCCAGGTGGGATTGAACCCCTCAAACTGGCCTGTGAGCCATCCGTGTCAACTTCAGATGCACATTGCAAAAGGCCATCCCAGCATCATGAATCGATCTGGCCTCTGCATCAGTCCTGAGCAGCTTCAGATGATCCTCTTGCAGCTGCATACAAGTTCGCACCCTGTAGATTACAGAAGTCGTGCCACACATCGTGCCTGACCTCTTGTACATGTGGTGTGTATGCGCATGCATGTGCGGCATGTGTGTCCAGCATCACTCCGCAGGACCATGCAGGAGCTTCTGCATGGGATCCAAGCATGATTCTGGAACACTAACGTCGGCCATGCGCCACAGCACCGACACGAGGGTTCCTCGGTAGTCATAATCCTTGCCTGGCCCAATTGGAATTGCCGGGACCACCTGGGGCTGGCTATGGCCATCAGACCATTGGTCTCTCAATGGGGCGTCGATTGGCGTCGATGGACCATGAAGGGCAAAACACAGACCTTCAGAACTCCCACCACGGTGTCACGGGGCTTCGAGTCCGGCATGGCGCAAAAGTCGATCGATGGGAAGTTTCCAGGGTTCTAGTGCACTAGTCAGTGCATGCACGTTGAGTTTGGGCAAATCAGACCATTGGTCTTCGAAAGGTGCGTGGTCCACCTGCGGCGGTTTGAACCTGCTTTGAATCCCCGACTTTCAGGTAGAGGCTACAAGAAACACAATTCCAAAAAGATACAAAATACAACCTGAAATAGTTGTTTTGCATGGTTCTACGTCATCACTGGCCCTGGTTCCCAAACAGCACACTCAAATGAGGGCCACAATGCAAATAGCACCCACCAAGCCAATTGAATCTTCAGTCACGGTGTCCTTTTGATGTGTCATCAGGGCATTTTCGCGAATTTGTTTTTTTTTACATTGTGGCAAAATAAAAGGCAGTCGGGCCGCAAAATCAGCAAGCACCCTTGTCGATGCGTCAGCAAAACGGACAAGTCGCACAATTTGGTTTCGCAACCCGTTTCGGGAAATTTTGTAGTGTTTTTTGCATTAATGTTTGCGGGTCGTATTTTTTGTATGTTTTTTCGCGGGCGTATTTTTTGTATTTGTTTTTTCACGGGTCGTATTTTTGTATTGTGTGTATATTTTTGTTTTTTGGGTGTATTTGTATTTGTATTTATTTTGTTACTTTTGGTATTTCGTATTTTTCGTATATATTGTATTTTTGAAAAATTCAGGGTTGTATTTTTTTTTATTTTTGGTATTTTGAAGTATTTTTTGAAAATACGAAAAGGGTCGTATTTTTTCGTTTTTTGAACATACAAATTTTCAACATCGAACTGCGAACCGGCAAAACCCACCGGCAATCTTTTTGACAACCAGTGAAACGTGGTCAGGCTACCCGACAACCACGAGAGGCCGCTCCAAAAGACAAGAGGGTCATCTTCCCATCCCACCCGTATCAAGTGGCAATTTACGTGAATATTGCTTGCAGTTTTCTATTTTTTGGGGTAGTATTTTTGAAAAATAGAAAGTCAAAAGTGTATCCTAAAAAATACAACTTGTGAATTTTTATTTTCCAGTCATAGTTTTGTTTTTTGTTTATACTTCTAATTATTTTAATGATTATAGGCTGTACCTGGAACCGGGGAACCAAATCTAGACCATTAATGATTAATGGTCTTCGAAATTTTGCATGGTGCTTCATTGTCATCACTGACATGTCTAAGCCAGGGTTGCCATGACATATATCATGGTCCTCATGTTCAGTGACGCCCTCCCCCAAACATGCTAGAAGGCACTATCATCCTCATCGTCCAAGGCCACGCGGGTCTGATAGGCTCCTTGTTCAGACGTGTTGGCACATGACCCACCCTCAATTTTCAAAAGGTCTCCAGATAGCCAATATTGCAAAGGTTACTAGTACGCATCGCCGGCATAGCCAAGAGTCGCTTTCGAAACGCACGCTTCATCTCCCATCGCTCCGGCGCGGATGACAACCGCGAAGAGCGTGAAGACAAGAAAGGGGATCCACAGGATGTGATTTGGCATCAAGTGGCCTATTGATGCCATATTTTTGGAGGAGATGTCCTGTTCCAACATGATCTTGCCTGAGATCCTGTGATCCAGATCTTGTTTCTGGTTGGTTTCCTGGTTTCTGCAAACCACTCACTGTTTTGTACAGGAAACCGGTCTTTGAGGGAACTGTGCTGTCAAAATGGATTCTTGCGGGTGGGGCATCTGCTGCGATGAAGGGCCGCTTCTGTTCACCGAGGATGTTTCGGGGCTAGGTCTTATAGGCAACCAGCTGGCTGGATTTGAGACTCCTCCGAGAAAAAGGGACCTGAAGAATCCCTGAGTCAAGTATGCCTTATCTCTTATCTCACGGGGGTTGACGTGTCCCTTGCAGCAACTTTTCCTTGATATATGCAGACCGCATTCATAGTTTTCAGGTGAGCCCAAGCCCTGAATCAACCAGACCACATGGTTTTCCGGTGAGCCACCTCCAACACTGGTTGTTGATATATGTATATATATATGTATATATATATATATATGTATAGGTCGACTTAGAGGTGCTTATAGACGAGTCTTTTACAGTCAAGCACGTTCATATGAATCAACTGCAAACGAACAAGTTTAACGAGTACTTTGGTTCACAGGGATTGCTTTATATTGTTTTAATATGCTGTTTCTTTTTTAAGCACACCAAAAAAGCCAGCGTTCGTAACTAAGAACTTTTAGATTACAACACCAAGTCAACCATGTTTTTTTTGATACATCTCTTTTGCTGGTCTTTGAAGGCTAAAGGGACATAACCATGGCAGCGGCACTTGCACACTGGCCGCGTCTCCGTGGCAAGGCGCGGCGGATCCGTGGCAATGCCTTACACGTCTTGGCCGTGGCGCGACGCCACTGGGCGAACGAAGCGACGCGTCGCGATGCACCCGGGAACCCCACGGTCATGTCACTGTGGGTAACACCGCGCCCGCTGACCTGGTGAGGTCGGAGGCGGCGCGTGAAAAGATATGCGAAGGTTTTGTTGTGTTTGTTTTGTTTATGATTGGGCCCGTTGATGAAGGGAAGTGGCATTGGTGTCCTGGGTCAGTCATCATGTTCCTTGGGGTGCAAGACCATCGGTGGCATCCGTGGCATCGCGGATGTTGGAACCCAAACAGTGGCATGTTGGCATGTTGTGGTTTGCAGTTGGCCAACTATGAATCTCTATATTTCAGTGGCAGATATCATATATGTGGCATTATGTGGCATTGAATATTCAAGCCTGAGAAGGTACTTGCAAGAGCCATCAGATATCATTGTTTCCATCTTCTTTCCGTTCTTTCTCACCAGTTGTTCACTCGAATTCCGTCCCAAAAGAAGATCCGCATACGATCAGATGCTGAGGTCAGCAGATCAAGTCGGCGGATCTGATCGATATGCTCTTAGAGGAGATCTACCATTCCGAGCACGGTTGGGAGTTCCTTCATTCCGAGTGCCGCTCGGCGCGGGAAATTTCGATCGATTCTCCCACCGCTGTGACATTATCGCTCGCTGTGGGAACTGGCAGACGTCAGACCGAGAATAGGGCCCAGGGGTGGGCCAGACCGAGAACAGGTCAAGGTTTTTTTTGTAGTCAAATATATGCCAGCCCCATGTGTCTGGGCATGGAACATCAAAATGTGAACGATATCAACCCCCCTGGAACAAACTTACTGAATACGTACGTTTCATTCAGGGTTTCAGGATGTTTCAGATATGAAGAACATCGCGCGGCGATTTGGTCTTCCGTTCAGGTGACTTCATCACCGGAAAGAATCAGCTGTTCGGTGCCTGTGCGAGCAAGGGGATGTTTGGGATTTGGGGAGTTTGGAGCAAACATGCAGAACATCTGGAAATCTGGAATAAGACCCTTTCTATTGGGAACCCCTATTTTTCTGGGATTTTTTTCAATTTGTTCTGGGATTTTTTTCACATTTTTTTCCCTACTGCTTTTGCTTTTGCTTTTTGCTTCTGCTTTTGCTTTTGCCCTTTGCTTCTGCTTTTGCTTTTTGCTTCTGCATTTGCTTTTCCTTCTACATTTGCTTTTTGCTGCTGCTTCTGCTTTTGCTTTTTGCTTCTACTTTTGCTTCTGCTCTTGCTTTTGCCCTTTGCTGTTGCTTTTTGCTTTTTGCTTTTGCTTCTGCATCTGCTTTTGCGTCTGCATTTGCCTTTTGCTTCTGCTTCGGCTTTTGCATGCTGCTTTTGCAATTAGAGCCTGTGCTGCTGCAAGTGGCCAGCTTCCACAGCTGTGCTGCTTGCAGTGGCCAGGGTCTAACGAGGGTGTGTTGCTGCAAGCGGCGAGCTTCCCACTCCTACGCTGGTTGCAGTCAAGGCCCTGTGCTGCTGCAAGTGGCCTCACCCTTTTGTGGGCCACGCAGGGGTAAAATTTAGAGAAGGATGTTGCCATCTCGACTTGACTCACCCTTTTGTGGGCCATGCAGGGGTAAAATTTAGATTTAGAGAAGGATGTTGCCCTCCCAAGTTGACTCACCCTTTGGTGAGCCACTTGAGGGTAAAATTTAGAGAAGGAAGTGGCGTTGACTCACCCTTGTGTGGGCCATGCAGGGGTAAAATTTAGAGAAGGATGTTGCCATCTCAACTTGACTCACCCTTTGTGGGCCATGCAGGGGTAAAATTTAGAGAAGGATGTTGCCCTCCCAAGTTGACTCACCCTTTGGTGAGCCACTTGAGTGTAAAATTTAGAGAAGGAAGTGGCCGCCATGCAGGGGTAAAATTTAGAGAAGGATGTTGCCCTCCCAAGTTGGCTCACCCTTTGGTGAGCGACTGGAGGGTAAAATTTAGAGCAGGATGTGGCAAAGAAACCCGAAACCAATGAAGCCCAAAGACAACCGCAAAGAAGTCCGTATAGTGAGTGGGATACCTTTTCTGTTCCCTCCCTTTTTCTGTCCCTTTCTGCTGCTCCTAGTGCTTGGAAAGCACTCCCAGCAGAAGCCAAAGCAAAAAGTTTCCCTCCCTTTCTCACTCTCCATCACGCTGGCTTTGGCGCTTCGTCCCCTGCCCTTGCACTCCCAGCAGAAGCCAAAGCAAAAACAGTAGGGGAAAAAATGTGAAAACAAAATCCGGAAAAATTGAAAACAACTCCCGGAAAAAATCTCCATCCTTTCTATTGCCCTGCACGGTGTTTGGAGAATACATGGGTGGTTAGTATGGGTGGTTGTTTACGTGCTGAAGGATCTGCAAGCAATCCTGTCATCACAGCCCACCATCCTGCCATCACCCGCGAGTCCATGCCATCGCTTGAGCTGGATGTTGGGTTTTAAGATCGTCCTCAAGACCATCCGGGACCCACATTCCGCGGGTGGTCAAGTGACGCCCGAATCATCGGAGAAGGACCTATACAGTGACCGGTCTATAGACACCCCGGTGAACGATTGGATCGTTCATCGGTGCCTCGAGAGTTGACTGCAGCGATACAGCCATCTGCATGGCCACGTTTCAGGGGGTTTTCACACGAAGAGGACAGCGAAAAGTGGTGAACTCGAAACGCCTTTGACCAGATCCACCAAGCTTTTCGTCTGAGTTCAGTGTTCCATGAATTTTGGCGTGATTCATCAGGTAGGGAAGGGAGAGAAGGTTTCTTGGAAACTCTTGGAAAGTCTATACTTAATGCGGTAATGCCCATAGCTGAATTTTCTAGCTGCATTTCTTCAACTGGTGTCTCACCACACTTCTTGCAGATTGTTTCAGCTCGCTTCTCCTAGAACGGCATTGCAGTCGCATTGCATTCGCTGCGGCCTGGTACTCCATCCGAGGACAATGCCAAGCACTCCATTTGGCCGCTGGTCGTGGCAATCGCGCCTTCATGGAACTCCTGTTGGACGCACCTCGACCGGTCACACCGGGGGTGTGGCGTTTGTTTCGGCGGAGGGATCGATCAGGTTCCAAGGCGCCAACGCGACCTGCTGCAGATCGAGTCTTTATGGTTTCAGATGGTTTAAGATCACAATCTCTAAACAGGGCTAGCGGCTAGCTTGTTGTCTTGAAGTCTATTCTACATGCTGAGCTGCGCATTGATATACGAGTTCTCATGCTGCCCATCCGGCCAACGGCGCGTTCCTCCAAGGCTGGTGTGGATGTGAATGTGAAGACACGCAATGACTACAAGGACAGCAAATAGAGAGCACGTGTGTGTCACAGTTGTTGTTGACTCCGGTTTCACCATGACCTCACACGATTTCGATCATGCCATGCTAGTACGTGGTCGGTTTTGATGCTATATGCTGTGCCATGCTATGCTTGTACCGTACGTAGATTTCCACCTTCAACCAGAAGGTTGGTCAGCTCATTGGATCAGAGGAGGTTTTGTCCAGCCTCTTTGCGCCCGCACCATATTGTACCACGCCCGTGGCCTTGCCGGTCGGAGGACAACTACACCGCGCTACACGAGGCGGCGTTTTTCAAGCAGGCGCCCGTGGTCATTTCACGCAGGGATGGCCACCCGGGCGGTTGAGCACTAGACACGAAGCGGCCGCCTTTCCCAGACACTCCATGTATGCCACATTGAACCCCCCAAACCACCCCAACTGATTGGCAGGGCAGTCCTATGGCAGTCCCAAACAGGTCGTGTTTGGGTTTTGACCATCTTCACAGGAAAGGGATCAACAGAACTCCCAAACCCTCTTTGGACCCCCCCAAAAGAAGAAGGGGATAGAACCCCCCCGAGGACGCTGCCGGGTGATTGGTCGACCGCACGGGTTCAGGCCGATGCAGTGGAGTTCCTGCTGGACAATGGTGCCAAGGCCGAGTATCTCGGGTTTTGGGGCACTGGATGGTGTTTCATCTCTCCACGGGGTTTGTCAAACGAATAGGGGTGTGTGTTCTGCATGATTGGAGAATGAGATGCTGAAGCGATAATTGAGAGACTATCATGCATTTAAAGATATTTAAAGTATCATATCGATTCCAAGGAAGAGTTTTGAAACTTCTCCGGAATTGGTGCTCTTTTGCTCGAGGTACGACGCATCACCCTGCGAATATATAATATATATATATATTCTCAGCATAAGCTCATATATACATGATTATATAATATTATATACATTGCATAGATGGTTCTTACACTGTCACACCAATATAACATGCACAGTACATGTACATATCTGGGACCATCCTGTCTGGTTTGTCCTGGCGTGTTCGATCCCGAACAAGCTAGTACTGGAGGGTAGTCCAACCAGGTGACCCGGCCGGATGCCACCGTGGCCGAAACCGTGGCCGGCAGGTGAACGAGACCAACTTCAAACGTCAAACGCCTTTGCACATCGCGGCCACACAAGGAGGCCCCGGATGGGAGGCGACAGTCACCGATGGTTCCAGAGGTCGTTATATATGGAACTCGGTCACCAGACACCAGATACCAATGTATTGGGACTGGCATATTTGACGGACCTCAGGTACCACCCCAATGTTGGTATACAGCTTTTGCATGCTTTTGCAAAGAACCGGTCGAGAATTGGGCAGTTTATACTTCAAATGCCGTACGTTGACAAAAGGCACTATACAGTCTAAAGGAATGTAGCTTATTGCACCAATTTGTGGCAAAAGGGTGTGTAGGCACAATTGAAGGTTGGGCACCTGATTGTTTAGAGAGACACATGAGAGACACATAATTTTCCATGATTTAAAACGAAGCTCAGGTTTTGATAGAGGTTTTAGGCTTGAAGAGGTTGTGCAGATTCTAGACAGGAACTTTTTTTGCAGTTCTTGGCTTTGCAACTGGTTTGCACATTCATGCCAGTCCCAGAAGACAATCAATGGAGAACAGAATATATGTTGTATTTAGAAGATGGCCTGAGGAATTCCTGTGCCCTTGTGGCTGCTCTAGAATCATGGGGTTTCTCGTCCCATTGATGCAACTATTTTGTTGTTGTGGCTATTGTCCCCAGGCAGTTTGATTTTTGCTGACATGATTCTACATGCATTTTCTAGGTGCTTTTGATTCGATACTGCATGTTTTACTCAACCTTATATTACCCAGATTTAGGCTTCTAAAGCAGATTTCTGCGCTGACCGGACCCCCTGAATCTGAAAGGAGGAGAACTATGCTGTATGTACATGATACATGGAGTGTATGGGTCGGCTGCCTCGTTCCGCTTCGAAGAGGTCGGTGGACGGCACGTGCCGTCGGGGTGTTCCGGTTTCGAGTCACCTCGGGCCGGCCGAGGAACTGGACAGAGACGGCCTGCAACCAGGCCCTTTTCATCATCCACTGTTATACAGGTAATAGGATAGACCCAATGGACATGATCTCATCCTTGCGGTGTTGTTCAGTTTGGGCCAATCAAAAGAACCTGCCTTCCATGGAGCGCCCTGGACACAACACCCCGTGACGGCTCTGGACGAGGATCTCTGCGCGTCGACAGGATACTTGATTTGTCGGCTCTTGGTGAAGTACCAGGCAGATGTCCACACCAAGGAGACCGGTGTTTTGTCAAAACCCCCACAGAATGGCGAGCTCCTTGCTTTCCCAATAATGCATCCATTGGATTCGGACGGAGAGCGTGATTGGCTGGAAGATGTTTCATGGTCCTCACACAGGTTCTTTAGCTGTTAATTCTTTTGTATGTTTTCCTATAGGACGCAGCATGCCCTGGTTCATGCCCTTGTGCGTCTCCTGAAATAAGTCTTTGCGAGTCTCTTTTACACCATGTTCTTCCCCCCGCGGTGGGCCGGCGAAGCCCGAACTCGCTGCCCGAACTCGCCAGGACAATCAAAAGTTCACTGCCTTGGACGCGGCCATGGCCAATGGACGCCACTTGGGCAGAGAACGGTTTCGCACCATGGCGAGAGGCACGTGGTGTCGCCACCGCGTGAGACCCAAGACGTACGGCCCGAAAACGGTTTAGGGGTGGTTTCCTTATCCTTACAGGTTTCGTTTGACCCAGGCTCAAACCTGGTCCTGAAAACCTCATTGAGTAAATAGATGCATGTACCAGGAGTTTCAACTGGGTACTTGATGGAGGTTAGAGGTGCCCATTACCCACTCACTTAGGGACTAACCCCTTTGTGACCCCTGGTATATAATTATAGTGAATATGATCAACTCCAGTAGTTCATGAGGTCAGTTCGCACACATCTCCCAAGCAGCCGGTCCTGAACAGAAACGAAAGCCGAACTGTTCGACACCAACTCCGAAGACTTCTCAGAAGGTGATTGGAGACACTGTCATGTAGGTTTGGAGGGTCCAGTCGTACCTTCTGAGGTTCGGTACGACTGGATCCATAGGGCGGTCTACGGTCGCCCCCCTTCCGGTCCACCGCAAGTCCGGTCGTTGATCAGCTCAGCTCTGGCTGAGACCGGCTCTGGCCACAAAGCTCCGAGGTTATCCACATCACAAGCTCTTCCACCTCACGGGCCGTAGCTTCAGCGACCTGCTGAAGGTGGCGCGGCACAGCCCCCAAGCCGCCAGCGACTTGCTGCGGGACGTGCAGGTGGATGCGATCCTTGGCCACCGGCACCGCGCCGTCGCTATTTTTATTGGAAGTACCCAAAGGCTGCAGGTGAAGAAGCAGCAAGGTCACTGGGTCAGTGGGTCACTGCTGAGGTATAATTATACAGGTGGCCTTGTAGACGTTTCTTTACATGTTTTTGTAGTCTAATGTGTTCTTGGTTGGTGACATGAATGGATGGCATACCCCTAAGTGAACCAATAGGTACCAAACTGACCCCTTTATTATGCCCAAGGACAGAAATTCTTGGTTGGGACTCTTTTGCTTGTTGATTCACCTTTAAAGGATCTGGGTACTTGACAACCTTTAGGAGTGGGTTCCTGCTGAGAGACACCGTGCTCCCATGCTCCTACATGAGCAAACTCCCAAACGTCTCTCTAATAATCATTGAGCTACTTGTAATCAGTGTTTTTATTCATGGCCTTGGTCTCCTCCATGCCCAGACACTCCATGTATGGCATTGTTACAATTTTGTTGGCCAGTCCCTTCGGGCCTGTTGACGGTAGGAAGCCAATGATGAAAAACAATCGGGCTTTTGGATTGCCACATAATCCTTTTATGGAATATTTGCCTTCCACACATGGATTGCCAGGGGCAACATGAGGTTTTCATGCGACGTTGGCCGAGGATTCACCCTAGCTGGGCTGAAAGCTTGGGCAAGGCAGGTGAAGCCCAGATGTCAGCTTCCTTTTCTCTCTGGACATTCATGTGAAGAGCCTGCGAAATAAGAACAACACATTTGCCACACACACACACATAACTCACATAATATGTTTTGACCGTACCTCATGTGAGGTACAACCTTTCTCAGAATCACCATGTATATTTTGCTACCCCACAAGGTACGAGACAGACGGACCAGGTTTGTGCACCACCGAAAAGACCTTGCATCATTCAACAGCGAAACTCCCACATGGTTCATAACTCAACATGCTTGACAACACCCCGTTATGCTTCATAACTCCCACCTTATGGTTCAACCATGTTTGGTTCCACATGGCCATTCTTTGTTCAACCTTCCGACCCCTCGCTGTGTCTCCGCCGTGGCGGGCGAAGTCCACAGAGCGCTGCTCGCAGGAGATGATCGATTCGCCGGAGAAGGGGCTTTCGCCTTTCGGGCAAGAAAGCGGATCGAGTGGGATCGGCCGAATATATGTATCATCAAAAAGCTTGGAAAAGCAGATATGTACACCATACTCCGGGCCGATGATCTGGATATATGTAGATTAATCATTGATATGTTCAGATATGTTCAGATGGTCCAACAGACCTCTATGAATCATTAATGTAGACGGTTGAAACCCCCATGATTGGTCCACACCTTTGGGGGGTTTTATTCATCAACAGAAAGTCCACATGAACATGAAGTCTTCCCATGTCGCCCATGTCTTCCCCACGTTGCATTTTCATCCGGGACCTAAAGCATGATTGCGGCCACCAAAACGAAGCCTGGCCGCTCATGCTTAGAGCCGCTCTGTTGCTCTTGGCACCTCTCAGGAATTGGGTGGCGCTCTTAGGCATTGCTCCAAAGGCTGGAGAAGAGGCGGCCGGGGTGGTGTTCGGCTCTGGCGACGGCATGGTTTTCGATCGATGGTTTTCTCCGAGAAGTTGCAGGGTTTTATCCAGTGAAACGTTTGTATCTGGTCGGATCGTTCAGATAAGATCTTTCGATATGTAAGTATTCATATACATCCATATATGCCTACATTGACCCCTCAAACCACCCCAATGTAGGCATATATGGCATACATGGAGTGTCTGGGATATACAATGCAGATCTTGCTTCAGTTCGTCTTCCGCCTTTCGAGCGAATGACACACCGACCGCCCTCACAGGTCATCGAGGCCCTCACTGTGGCGCCCCCGGTGTCCTGACCGATGCACGGGGTGTCGCTGGAGACTCACCGTGGCGGCTGAGCTATGAGATTGACCTAGAGAATAGGTCAACCACCGGCTTTTCTCTGGCTATGTGAGCCCCAGATGGCGATCATGGCTGGGGAAATCTCAGGTGGATAGGTTCGTTCAGGGAAATAAGCTTAGCATATTGACACTGGCTTAGCAAGGCTTAGCATGGCTTAGCATGGCTTAGCATGGCTTAGCATATTAGTTGAAATATAGTCTATTATTACTGGCTTGCGTTTAAAGAACTTGATAAGTAGTTGATTGCACAACATATTGTTTCGGGTTTCTGACAAGTGTCTATAGGTTGACCTTTAGCCCCCAAGGTCCCCATATTCCCTAAAGCCACCTATGTTAAGTGACCCGTACAAGCGTCCAAACAATCATAGTCAGACACCTGCTGAAGAAGCAGGATGCGCTGCATAAGTGCAGTCTTTGTCATACTTGCTCCAGTGGTCGTGGTCGGCGGCACGGGGAGGGTAAACGAACAAGGACCACCAGGGTTCCCACAGCCCTCGAACCTTAAGGATTCCCACATTGATATCTCAAACCCCTTTAACCTTTAACTTTGTACCTTTAAACCTCAAGGATTCCCACATCCCTTTCTAACTCCACTCGCGGGTCAAACATGGACATGACAGCGGGTAGACTTTGATAAGAGGAACTGATACTTGTGGGAGAGCTTCCTTAGATGCGCTGAGTTTTTTTTGCCAGATTCAGTTGTTGATTCTATTTGAATGCGTGTCGTTACATATGTTTTTCAATCAATCTCGGGAATTATTTGTGTTGAGCATGGAAATCCTCTGGACAATGGGAGAGGTGGGAGAACTCACCTCACTCACTCACATCACTCACTCACTCACCTCACTCACTCACTCCCTGTACCTCACTCCCTACCTCACCTCACCTCACCTCGCCTCGCCTCGCCTCGCCTCACTTCACTCTCTCACTACTCACTCTCTCACTACTCACTCTCTCACTACTCATTCTCTCACTACTCACTCTCTCACTGCTCACTCTCCCACTCTCACTCTCCCACTCTCACTCTCTGACACTCACTTTCCCACTCTCACTCTCACACTCGCATTCTCACTCTCACCTCTGACACCCACTCTCTCACTCTCACTCACACTCATCTTCCTCACCGCTATCACCTCTCTGGACCCCAATGCGTCTATATATTTCTCTGGACGTTCTGCTTCTACACCTCTAGACCTCACATGCACTGTTTGGTGTCTCTTGCCGGGATATTCTTATGAGATGATGTGTGCATGCTACAAATGTGTAGGATGAGGGGTAAACAAATGGCTGAAAAAGCCAGGCACAAAGCCAAAGGCCAGGGGCCAACAGAAAAATGAATGCTTTCCGACCACAAATTTCAGTGGTCTTGTTTTCAACCGGTGCAACAAAATACATGGGGTTCAAAATGGCAGAAAAGAACCTTGGCCAAGTGAAAACTTTGCCTGCCATCAAACTTTCAAGGAAGAGGGGCCATTCACGACACATCACGACACATACATACATGCATGTTGAATTGGGGCGGGTCAAAAAACTCAAGAATAACCAGGCAACACTGTTTAACACCACCCATTATTGGCGATGAAAGCAACCAACAAGCTGCAGGGCCCCCGACAAAAACCAAGTCTTTGCCATCACCAAAATCAAAGCAGCAGACCTGGCAGAGACCCTGGACGACGTGCAAAATGTTTTATTATAAAAGTTGGTCTATTACGTGGCTCCAACAGGGGACAAAATACTGAGGTCGAAATAATAAACCCGCTGGACAGCAGAATAGAAATAATAACCGCTGCTGGAGCTGGCGTAGACACCTCTTTCTATAGGCCTGGACACCTCTCAGCTACCTCAGGCTTGTCCCTGCCGGCCATAGGGCCACAGGCTTTTGGCAACTAATTGAGGCTTGTCCTGGTCCCTAGGACCTGGCGCCTTGCCTTGCGCCCCACAATTCCACGAGGTAGCGAGGCTTCACAAGACAGTGCCTGGTTGGAGTGCCGGGTGGCGTCTTGAATACCATGGGAGTAATGTGTACAGCATTAGCAGTGCGCTGGCTTGTGGCGAAGTCTTCCCTGCAAAGATAACCAACACAAACCGGACAGCGTGTGGCCGTGGGGTGTACATGCCCCACGGCACTGATGAAAGTGTTCCTGGGTAGTTATATTCCTTGCCTTGGCTGCAGCCAGAGGTTCCAATAGCCCGGCTGATCTGTCAGGGAACCCCCTAGCCTAGCAAGGGCAGATATGGTTGGGATTGGAATTGCCCAGCGCGGGACCACCTGGGGCTGGCTCTGGCCATCCTTGGTGGAGAAGAGGGAAAGAATTGGGCCAGCTCCATGCCTGCGCATTGTGCATCGTGACAAAAATACCCATCACGCACCCTTGGATGTGCCTGGTGGGTTTGATTTGAGATGGTCCTGAGATGTGGGAACATGGGAGTCTAAGTGTAAAATTCATGGTTCATGAGATGGATATGGGAAGTTCGAGGGATAGGAACCAAAGTTGGTCCTTGTTCGTTAGCCAACCTTTTTTCCAAACTATTGATTGCTTTGACGCTTCACTAGAATTTTGTGGCTTTAGGGATATGGAGACCTTGGGGGCTAAAGGTCAACCTAGACACTTGTCAGAACCTTGGAACAATATTTTTTTGCAATCAACATATCAATGTTACCAAGAAAAAGGCGCGGGGGTTCAGATTGGCATCGCATGATCGCAAAAATGTCGTTTTGCGCTTGATCAGTTGGAAAGCGAAGGAAACCAGTGACCAGTGATGCAGGGTGTACTTGGAAAATTCACTCGCACTTAGACCTTTTATATATGCCTACAGTCCACCAGAAGAAACAAGTTCCACGTAAGCGACACTTGGACTCTTGCATTCCGTATTTTGTGGCACCTCTTGAAAGTTGGAAGGTGTACAAAACCCAAACCAACTTCTCTTTGTGGTCACGTATTACCGGGTGTGAAACCAGACCTAACTGCCCACCACAACTCACGCTACCCTACGGGTCTTCGCCCCTGTGCTGGTGGCAGCTGAGGTGAAGGACGAGAGCCACCATCCCCTCCCTCGCAGGGTCAGCTTGCCAGCAGGTGGGAGCGAAAGGGGCTGAAAGGTTTCCAGGGCGCGCGTTTTTGGGCGCAGGCGCCATCGAATGGATCATAAATTCAGGCAAGAACGACATATCCGAGAAGAATCTATAACAAAACATGCGCTGGTGGTCCATGACTCCAACGAATTTGTGTATGTTTTGTGAAAGGAAACAACTAATTATATATATATATATATAGTGATGGCTGGCTAAATGCCGGTTATGAAACAAGAAATCGAAGGACTCTAAGTCATGTAGAGCACTTTGCCTTTTCTTTCGGAAGGCCTGGAGGGCTTTAGCACTCTGAATTGTTGTTGTGGATGGGGAGTCGTTTCTAGGTTTTTCTTCTAGGCGTACACACAGTGGCGGTGTGTTTTTTGGTTTCGGGAACAGAGACCTGGCGGCCTCCAGGCTCGCAGTTCTTGTGCCAGTACCAGCCGGAGGACACCTGGATGTACTACAGAAGCTTGGCAGAACGAAACGCTGACCTAAGATCAGCTCTCATCGAGATCGGCGTCAAAATCGGAACGCGTGCATGTAGATGGATTTATGTTCGGTGTTTTTTTTGGCCCTGAAGACGTCATGAAGACCACCCCAGGAAGAATCGAGTGGTGAATGGATCCGTTCGGTCTTTGTCATGGGAGGGGACCCAGTTGACCCATGAGTGGTCTCGTCACTTGGGTCCAAAAGAACAGGCTGTTCACGAAAGGTAGCCGTTTAGGGGATACCTTGAGTTTGTCTTGCGAAGCAAGTGTTGGGACGTCCGGGTCTAATAATTGATCGCTCAATTCAGACCCCCCCCCCCTCCCCCCCTCTAAAATCAATTCTCTCCTGGAGAACGTCTTCGTGAGCCTCTCATGATTTCAGGATAGTTGAAACCCTCTTGAACATTCAGAAAGAGTGAATATGAAATTCTAATCGCGAAAGGTGTTCCCCGAGGGGATACATACCTAGAGTTTGTTTTGTGAAGCACGTCAATTCTCTCCTGGGGAGCGTCTTCGTGAGCCTCTTATGGTTTCAGGATAGTTCAAAGCTATGATGTTCCGATTCAATGCTCACCGATGATCTGAGCCATGGGGCAAGTTTGTTTTCCTAAGAATCTTTTTGAACATTTCGATAGCATATGTTTGAACATTTAGAGTGCATATGAACATGACATATATTTACGAAAGGTCGCCTCCGAGGGGACCATGTCGAACATTGCATTTTTGTTCCTGCCTCTCGCGTTCTCTTCTCTTCCCGCTGTCCTACCTTTCGTGTCTCCCTCCTCTCAAGTTTGAGTGGCCGCGGCCGGGTTGCTAGAGCTTGCTCTTTTGTGTTTTTTGGGTTTGGCCATGAGCAAGGACAAGAACTGCAGACGGAACTAAGTTCTCAACCCCCTGACCAGGACCATGTATTTTCCATGTAATGTCCATCCAATATCTACTCTAAAGAGGTGGTGCAGGCACTTGCTTCTTGTTTCCAGATAGTCTATTTTCTGATATCAAAAAAAACACACACAGGCACCACCATCCAGATGAAATCCCCCGACTTCTCTTCGTCTCTCCGTCTGACTCCACCGACGGGTTCGGCGTCTGCAGGTGCTCAGAATGAGGTGATCCCCACGTGGCACCGGGAACTTTGTCCCGGCACCGAGGCGCCAGCGCACCTGGAATTTCTGACAGCTGTGGACCGAGTTGAGGGGAGAAGGTTTTGACAAGGGAGAAACAAGACCTGATGGTTTTCTTGGAATGCATTTGAGTTGGTCAGTTGGGTGGTGATGGTGGCACCTTTTTGTCTTGTGTGTTCTTTTTGTTGCCATTCTTTTTTGGAGGTTCATTTCACAGACAGTTGCCATGCGTCGTTTAACGGGGCATCACCGTCTCCGTTTTAATCAGACCACCGAGTGGTAGCGAGCTCCCACTGGGGTTCCTCTTGGCTTGGACTCTTTGCGTGAGTGCCGGAAGTCAACGATTTATGTCCCAAACACAGACACGACGGGAGTGAATAGCAGTTTGTTGGATTGGACGGTTGCCACGACTGGCAGCCACTAGACCTCCGCACGACCGGAATGCCACACCCAACTGACGCTACTGACCGGAGCAAAGCCACCAAACTGCCAATTGACATTTCATGAATAAGATCTAAATTTCAGAATCTTCATCGAAGTACCTCTACGCAAGAGATAGCTAATCGAAGATAGGGCAAGAAAGGGACAATGGGCAATAGACCCATCAACCTGTGGGAGATACACATTGACTGCTACATGTGACTATGAATACTGCACGACCCCTGTCTTGTATAATCTTTAGATTTAGATTTATATCCCTACACCTCCAAGTACTTCCTCGGAAGGTATGACTGGACCCTCCTGGCACCCACCCCAGACACCTTGTCAGAAGGTACGACTGGAGGCCGAATGGGTAGTGCCTATAGAATATATCTCCAATCCTCAAGAGAGCCATCAAGCCGCTCACGCCAGACACGCTTCGCTACCAAGCCCCTGCAGCGGCGCACCGAACGGTGGTGTAGGTCGGTGGGCGGTGTGGGGATGGCGCGTTCGGTTGGATGGCGAACAGCAAGACCGGCCCAATTCCGATTGGTTCTTGATGTTTTAGTTGACCATTTTCGGGACGGTCCGCTCGGTGGACGTCGACCTGGCTTCGGGTGGCTGGTTCGACAGAGCGGTATCGACCCGGTAGTGCTTAGATGCGTCCGATGGTCCGACGAAATGGATTAGGTATCGATCTATGGTAAGGGGTCAGTCGCTGATTCTCTACGAGGGGCACCAGTCTGTTGAAGAAAATTGATACCGGTTTCCAGTTTCCGCAGCTTAAGCCAGCTTTTGATGGCCTTTGATCATGCGAACTCTGACGTGCCAGATTGAAACCACGGCCTGCTTCTTTTGGATCGTATGCATTCCAAGAGCATAGCAAGTGGACAGGCAGATTTGGAAACCGGTCACTTCAAGCCGAATTCGTTTGGTTGGTGGGATTTGGCTCGAGATCTGCCACATGTTCCATCCACCTCTTCATCAACCCTCTGGACCGGTCCCCGGTCCCCGAGTCGGGGCCGAAGGCATCGGTCGTCACCGTGCGTCAGGCAGGTCTATGGCTGGACCACCGGGCAAGGCTCGGCGAGAGACAATCAAGTGCAGCAGGCGCGGGTGGGCGTCAGCTGGCACGTCAGCTGGAGTGCCATGTGGTGCCATGTGGTGCCTGAAAGTTCCGCTCCAGCGGCCAAATTGGAACATGCACTGCATACACCTTCTCCACCCTGTTCCGGCCTCAAAACCCATGAGAACCTTCCTTCCCCGTGCCTCTTCGGACCGGCCGGGCCTCCGAACCGGTCGCCGCGGCGAGGTGCCAGAGACGAACAACGCCCTCCGGATGCGCGTGGCCTCCAACGAGGTGCGTCTTCGGGAGTGGATGGGAGGGCAGGGTGGCGCGCCAGCTAACGGCATAGTATATCGCATGGTCTTTCGCATGGCCTGGAAGAAACGGGCCTGGATGGATCGGTAGGTTGATTTGGGAGGATGAGACAGATACCTGCAGAAATGGCCATGTGGTTGGTGGGTTGGTTGATTGGAAGGGGATCAGATACCTGCAGATACCTGCAGATACGTGTGCAAGCAATTGGTCGGTGGCACCGACCCCTCCAACCTTCCTGATCGCCCAAATCATTGATCGCCCCTTTCTCGGTGCAGGTGGGGAGGGTTGAAGCGTTTTTTTCTGTGGGAATCCAAAGAGGGCAGCTCTAGAAGCTTCAGTCACTGCTTCAGTCCTCTTGATGAACTTGCATTTCTCTATGATGAAATACATATTATAACAATTCACATATCAAAGACCTTCCTTAGCCTGTCATCCAAGAAGACCCAAACGCATTTGGGTCTTTGGGAGATATGCTATGCACAGAACCACTTGCTATTGCAGTCGGATGAATCCGACTTGCCTGATGACTCGAAGTGGTTTGCCACGCAGGTGGCGAACCAACGAGGACGTCAGAACGCGCCTTGGCTCGTTCGCCTTCTTCCCGCGGGGTGTGTGTTCTCATTCCTGTTCAGGAGGTTGTTCAGAACTTGAGTCGTTCGGCTATTCCAGTTGAGTTCAGGTCACCCAAAACCTCTCTTGGTTCCCCCGTGCCATCGCGGTGTACCCAAATTGGGGGATCAAAAAGGTCAAGTCCAGTTTCAATCCCCTATAGGCCTGAAGAGGTTGTTCAATCCAAATGGGCGGAGCCCTTTTGCTCGAGCCTTCACGCGGCGGGGCTGTTATCTGGGAGGCCTCTCCTGGATACAGATGCGGGCGACGCCATGGGTCGAAACCCTGCAAAAGGAGTCGATCTCGGTCACTTTGCAGCCTTCTTTCCTGGTGAAGGATAGAGGACCTGCACACCGCATTGCATTTAGTGTCCGGCAGACCCTTTTGAGAGCTACTGACTTCCAGGTGATCGAATGTGTCTTGGCCACGGGTCAGGTGATTCATTTAAAAGTCAGGAATAGCGCTGGTTTCTGGCTACACACGGGTGGATCTTTCTACCTTGGTGGCGAATTTCACTGTGATAGGTGGCAGTTTTCCTTGTGGGCCCTTCCTACGAGGTATGATGACACCTGTACACAAGAGAAAACGTCACAGTTCGATATGATCCTGCCAATGCTCATGCTGTATTTTGCCAGTTGTGATGACCGTGAACCTTTTTTGCGAAGCCAAGAATTGATTCATAGTGTCATGACCTTCGTGCAGATGACCTACTTCCTCCTCCAGGATGTCAAGTGGCATGATGTTGTAGCAGTTTTCGAGCTGGAAGAGATGCGAATAAATAAACCACGAAGAGAACCCACGACTGCACTCAGGGGCTATGATGTAAACAGCAAACTAACCTTCGTTAGCTCCCCGATTGATGCAGATGCCGGGCCAGGCTTTTTCGTGCCTCAGCTGATCCAACAAGCTCTCAATAGAATCCATCAAGTTCGCATGTATCAACCAGATCTAGACATGCCAACAGGTATCCATGTCGGTGGCCGACCAGGTTGGGACACTGTTCGATCAGTAACGTTGCGCCCCTACGCTTCGGTTGGAGATAGGATGACCTTTTCCAGAGACACTGAAGGGTGGATGGCATCAGATGAATGGACATTTGCAGCAGGAAAGATTCGTCGACCGTCATCTCATTACCACCTAATGCCATTGTGCCAATATGATGCAATACATGATGATTTCGTGTTTGACGCAGATGACCCTCACATCGCCAACACAGGGATATCCTTATTGCCAATTCTTTTTGGAGCACATTGGGGAGGGATCGAGATAGACCGTCAGCATGATCATCTTGAAGTCGCTTTCCTGATGATTCCACCATCGTGGAGAAACCGGATTGAGCTGTTCCTCTGCCGTATGCTGGACATTCCTCCACATAGGGTGAACATCTCATACGGCCTTGACTTAGCACCACCTCACATGTGTGGCTGGACCCTGTTGAAACGCTGGATTGACCTCACACACACATCACAGGCATTCTTCAATACGCTGCATGAGTTCCAAAGCCTGTCCGATGATAGAAAGAGAATCATTCACAGTGTTTTGCAGCATTCAGCTAGAGCGTGGGCAAGAACAGAAGGCTCACAAGATTTGCAGTATGTAGCATATGTGGTCCGTATGGCATTCCTTACTAACATCTTTCAGTTCAACACCAGTGTCCACCACCGTTTGGATAGCCACGCTGTGCTCGCCGCAGGCCAGCCACTTCAGGCCTATGAGGACCCAGCCTCTCAGCAGGGACAACCATCAACAGTTGCGGAAGACACGACTCCAGATGCCAGACCTGAGGAAACTGTCGCGGTCGCAGAACAAGGAACGCAGACAGACTCAGACGCTCAACTGTCGCTTGTGGTACATCAGGTCCATAGTCAAGTGCGCACCGTCCATTCACGCCTGGCTGCTTTCAGCGAGTTGCCTGGTCATGCAGCCTCAGATGAACTTGATCATATTATCACACTTTATAGACAGTTGATCACGAATAGACACATTATGTCGTGTTGCAAATGGGATCTTGAATCGGGGATTGTCCGGCTTATAGGCAGAGAAGAAATACCAGTGTGGCTGATGGTAGACACTAGGGGACTCATGTTGGCTTTTGACCATTGGTTTGCATACAGGATCCATGGCAACATGCAATCGGTAATCATCCATATCTACGGATTCCCAAGCATTGAACCAGCTCAATGCAATGCCTTCATCCATGCATTCACAGCCTTCCTGCATATCGACCCGACTCTGGTGAGAACAGTCTTCCATACGTACCATTCGCCGGAAGGTATGTGCGGATTCCTGATGCTAAGAGACATGCTCAGTTCTTGTGGAGTTCAATGGATACCACCGTGTCATGAAGAAGTTCATTTCTTGCAGATGCACCCTGAACAGGAAATTCTGGCACACATTGGCCAACAAGCGGTGGCAGCTTGGCAGTCAGCCTCGCATGACCAAAACCTCATCCATTTTGCTTTTACGGTTCGAGCTATCTTCCTGTCACAGCTACTTACGTCCCAGGTAACACTGCCTTTTGAAACTGGAGGAACATTACGTAGTACAAGCTCAAGCACCGGTCACAGTTCCTACGCATCCCGAGCAGAGCTTCCGTTGCTGTCAGAGCGTACAAGGCAAGTACTTATCCACCATATCAGAGCACATATCCCAGTCCAAGGCATATGCAGTTGCCATTCCAAGGGATTTACTGCACAAGCAATCCTCACACAGTACGTGCACGATTGGGGTGATCAGGCAGTCGTAGCTTGCAAAATCATTCAACCCACCACTGCACTAGGAGACCTTGTGGGGAACTTGGAATGCGGTTGGCCAAAATGTTCACACGAGCAGGTCAAATTCGCGCACGTCCTCCTACCAAAAGAAATGTGGCAGGCATTGGGGCCAGACCAGATGGTTTTCATTGTTGAGGCGAAACTCCTCTGGAATGAAGGAACACCAGTAGTAGACCTCAGAGCACCTCAGTCAGGCCTCACGCCGGTTGACTTGAAAAGGAAGCCAGATGATAATCAGATACGTGTGGGAGAATTTTTTGCAGGCGGATTTTCCGGATGGTCCTTCGCCATGAAATGCTTGCAAAGAGCACACCTTCCAGTACATCACGCTTTCTCTGTCGAAAACGACATTATCATGGCCCGTAACCATGCATTAAATCACACCAGTCATCCGGTTGTCACCAGTCCGCAACAGGCACAGTCTATAGGAATCACGGGTCGAATTCCACAGGAGCCATTTACGATTGTCGCGAACATCGAACATGCATGGTGGCACTTTCTGACTCGCCCTATTGATGTGCTCTTAGCTTCACCGCCCTGCCAGCCCTGGAGCAGGGCAGGATCGGAGGCTGGCCTCGAATCCCCAGAAGGACGCTTGTTGATTTTCACCTTGATTCAGTGTGCATTTCTACGCCCGGCAGTACTCTGCCTAGAGGAAGTTGCATCAGTTTTGAGCCATAGACATTTCACTTGGTTTCGGGAATTTCTCAAGTGGTCTGGCTATTCACTCGTGTGGTGTGAACCAGTCAACCTTGGGGAGATCCTGCCACATGCTCGCAACCGCATGCTTATGGTCGCTGTTCGGGAAGGCGACCCTCGCATTGAGACACTAGAAGCTAAAAAATGGTGCAAACCTACTGAAATGCCAACACTATCATCAGTGCTACTTCCAGCAAGCCACCACTGTCATGGTCTCGCACCCTCCATTAGCAAAGAAGCTTTCGACATGTACTTCAAGCACACATATTTACCAAGAAGAACGGGAAGTACACCACATGAAATCAGGAGATGTAGAGTACGAACGGCCCAGGACCAGCATCCGTGTGTGATGGCTAACTACGCGTTTGCGCACGAACTGCCTGAACATGTCCTGCGTGAAGGCGGACTTCTCGGATCCTTTGTACTTAGTGAAGGACAGCTGCGATGGTTGGCACATCCCGAACTCGTCATGCTTTTCGGCTGTACAGATGCATGCCACGTTCCTAATGAACCGAAGATTGCATGTCACATGCTTGGCAATGCTATAGCCGTACCACACGCTCTCCTCTGCCTCCTCAATGGCATCGCACAGCTTGAATGTATTCGATGGACCGACATTCCCTTGTGGATCTTAGAAGAAGCAGTAGCTGATCGTATTACCAAGGAGTGTGTGGCAATCGAACAGTGCTTTGACACGCACACAATCAGGGTTGTTCGAAATGAAGTCTCTCCCACGCAAAGCTGGGAGGAACAAGCAAGCCCAATGCACTGTTTGCGCGTGGTACACGAGGATGAAGTTATTAGCTTCCACATCAGTCCACAAGTCTCGGTATTCGAATTTCTCCGTATGGTTTTTCACCTGCCAACCAATGCTGCCGCAGTGTGGAAGCCACGTGGAGATTCCGCTGTCCGTTTGCCTCTTTTTGCCATGGACACAGTCCCCACCTCGGGCATGTTCGTAGAAGGGTTGTTCCTAGGACCAATGACATTAGAGGAAAAACACTTCATGGACCACAAGACCGAGTTGATTGTTGCACTGACACCTCTGGGAATTTTTGCCATGCACAGGACCAGAGCTGAGACGGTTGAGGACGTGATACAGAATGTCTCGCCCTTTTTCCAAATGGAGATCCGAGCTGAAAACCATCTAGGTAGAGTTCTTGAACCTGTTGCCACCTCTTCGAACATGATGATCATCACGGCAACCAAAGAAGACTTGCCTACTAGTGTTGACGCGTTAGCTGAATCGAACTGGAGCGCAACACCGGATTGTCTTTTGTGCATCACCACAATGTTCCAAGCTCTCTCCATCCTTAAAACATATAGCAGCCTCGGGCTCAACGATGTCATTCGCTCCGTAGGTTGGAAGAATGTACTAGATGCCAGTCGGGATGACACCACCATCAGAGGAACTTCTGTACAGTTGACATTCCAGAGGTGTGCACACATGGCCTCCATTCCGCTCCAAGACCTGCAGAACCTCTTGTCAACAAG